ATGATCTAACAGATAAGTATCGTCAGTGTTTGTAGGTCTGATCACAGTATGATCTAACAGATAAGTATCGTCAGTGTTTGTAGGTCTGATCACAGTATGATCTAACAGATAAGTATCGTCAGTGTTTGTAGGCCTGATCACAGTATGATCTAACAGATAAGTATCGTTAGTGTTTGTAGCCCTAATCACAGTATGATCTAACAGATAAGTATCATCAGTGTTTGTAGGCCTAATCACAGTATGATCTGACAGATAAGTATCATCAGTGTACATAGGCCTAATCACAGTATGATCTAATAGATAAGTATCATCAGTGTTTGTAGGCCTAATCACAGTATGATCTAACAGATAGGTATCATCAGTGTACATAGGCCTAATCACAGTATGATCTAATAGATAAGTTATCCCATAAGATTATACTTGTGTACAGTGATGTCAAGTAGTCTCTATCAAAACACTGAAGTTTATTTTATATCAACAGGTTTTCTCTTTCCATAATTAGAAACCATCAATCTGTAGAAAGTTGTCTTTAACACGTGTCTGTTTTAGTCATTGTCCCTGGTAGAAAGTTGTCTCTAACACACGTCTGTTTTAGTCATTGTCCCTGGTAGAAAGTTGTCTCTAACACACGTCTGTTTTAGTCATTGTCCCTGGTAGAAAGTTATCTCTAACACACGTCTGTTTTAGTCATTGTCCCTGGTAGAAAGTTATCTCTAACACACGTCTGTTTTAGTCATTGTCCCCGGTAGAAAGTTGTCTCTAACACATGTCTGTTTTAGTCATTGTCCCTGGTAATTCACCAGACATTTATGATTTCCCTATTACTGTCTGATTTGAAGGAAAATTAATTTTACGGTAAATGTCCTACTATAATTTTTGATTCTATTTAATGAATAGAAAATACTTAGTTCAAATATTACACATCTAAAATTATTTCAACAGTAACATAAAACCTTACAGACCTTCTGTTCTTTGAGTAATGCTGTGAGAGAACCAGGGTCTGGGTAGAGGGGCTCAGCCTCCTGGACTTGTTGCTGGGCTCCTCGAAACCAATCCAAAAGTTCGTCTATGTCTCCTATAACCTATGTACAGGATGTGAGGAAGGCCATTCCAAATTAACACTGACATACATACACAATTACAATTATTTCATTCCAGAAACTGAAGTATGTATTTTATCAACCAGTTTATTACTTATTTGTATCTTACACAAAATGCTATACAAGCAAACAAAATATCAAATAAGTAAATCAAGTATGCATGCTATGATATGTGTCGTACAGAGTAACACAAAATAAAGAAATAACCTTTCTTGGAAATAATTAAACATCAACATAAGATTGACACAAAATAGGCAAAACTATGGAAACTACAAACAAAAGTTAACTCAGCACTTAAATCATTGTATCACGTGTTTCAGGTTTCTCATATCACTTGTAAAAGAAACATTCACCTCATCATAAAACAGAGTGAAATGTTATAAATGTTCAAGACAGGTGATCCACTCTCCACAAGCTTAAAGCTTTTGTTACAATCCTAATTTTAAAATGCTTTCGTACGTGTTTCAGGTTTCTCATATCACTTGTAAAAGAAACATTCACCTCATCATAAAACAGAGTGAAATGTTATAAATGTTCAAGACAGGTGATCCACTCTCCACAAGCTTAAAGCTTTTGTTACAATCCTAATTTAAAAATGCTTTCGTACCTCTACATTCTTTTGTTTTGATAACTGTATCCTCTCTGCCTTACGCTGAATCTGCTCACAGAGTGCATCGTAACGACGATTGTCTCGAGTAATGAGGTTTTCTAACAGATGTGACCCCTCACTTGGCGAGATCTGGCACAGACGTGGTCCCAGTAAAGTGACTGATTCAACCACCGGTCGATACTCTTGCATTACCTTTTCCAAGTGCTAAAAGAAACAAACAACTTGTTCATATCCACATAACCTACGTAGCTTTGGAAAATGCATTTGTTTTGTTTGCACTATGCTTTATAATATAAAAGGCTTTAAACGGTATTCGAGCATCATGTGTTCTAGTAGACAAAGACCACTGGATTATAACAATGTTATTAAAGATGTTCTTTATACCGAGTCAGTCATTGAAACATTTTTAAAAATTACAAACAATCTTTTAGTAGTAATACTTCACACTTTGCCATCTCTAAGGTCATTAATGAGTAGGGTATAAAGTATCTATTAAACAAAGTTTTATAATTACTAACTTCTGTTTTATTAGTTTAACAACAACTTCTACGATTAATAAGTTTGCTGAATTTTGCACAAAGCTATCTTTGCTAGCTATCCCTAATTTTGAAGTGATAGACTAGAGGGAAGGTAGCTGGTCAACGCCACCCACTGCCAATTATTGGGCTACTCTTGAGGGATTTGACCATCACTCTTACAGCCCCAAAGTGCAGCATATGATTTTTTATATATTTTTTTTGCTGGTAACAGGACATAAACCATGAAACCTCAGATCTATAGGCAGCATGCTAACTGCTCAGCCCACTAATGTTAACAGGAGCAGTCTTTTTTACCTCTATAGTGCTCTCCTGTGTGCTGAGACTAAGGGCCTCCAGCGTCTTCAGAGTTTGCTCTGTCTCATCTATCCATAACACCAGCTTTTCACGAGAACTCTGGAAGTTCTGAGTGAGTGGAAGAACCTCTAGTGCTTGCTTTTGTCTCTCAGTGCATTTTTGGGACACTTCATTGTACTTGCCCTGGATGATGTCAACTTTGTCTTTTAGCTGAATGACATCATCGCCTGCAAGTAAAACAAATTAAAAGTTATGACTGAGCATAAGAATACATTTAAGATTTGTTTCTAAGATGACCAAATATCAATAAGCTTCAAATTTTAGCTCAAAATTTTATCAATGAAGAATAACACGTATGTAATTAATAGTTGAAACCGTCGGTACTTGGTAAAACTCAATTAAAGAACTGAAGAAAACAAAGGTAACTGTACGCTTCAAAGTACGATTGTCTTTGTTCTCCTCAATTCTGTAACATGCATGTGTTACAAACGGTTACAGAGTTGTAAAAAAAAAAGGAAGAGAGTATTAGCCAATTTTCTCAGATATAACTCCTGTACCAATTCATTTTCAACAAGTAAGTCATTAAAATAAGATAACCCTTACCTGAAGTATGTTTCATTAGTTCTTGTGATATGGTAATCAGGTCGTCTACTTCGCAGTTATAATTAGTAATTTCAGAATGAAGGTCCTGAAAAAAAATCACAATTAAATGTACAATGTGAGCTACCATAAAAGTTTTACAACAAACTAAAAAAACCTCTATATTCAGATTTAAATAACGTGTAAAACACCACTGGTTGACATTTTCTCAATCTAGCAGCTCATGACTTTTCTATTCTTCAATCTGATGTAATATATTTAGAAAACATTTTGGCAGTTTTGTAGAAATCGCATGACTAATCAAATATCAGTAGAACTTCATCACACCATAAGAGATGCAGAAAAAAATGTAGACAGTAATATATCTTCGTTTTTCATTTCCTTGGATTAAGTTTGAACCCAACACCTCTTGTACGCCAGGTAAGTCCTCTAACAGCTCGGCAACAAAAGGTTAACCTACTGGTCATCACTAGTAAGTCAATTCTATTCATTAGCAATAACTAATTAGCTATTCTTAAGCTCTCATATACTAGGTCTGTTCTTGGACATTATCTCAGGGTTTTAGGAGCCAGTTTTCCTGTGCTTAATTACTTTTGTTTTAACTTACTGAGCTCGGTATTGAACCCGAGATCTCTCGCACACAAGGCTAGTGCTATAGCTAAAGGATTAAAACTAAAACTATAACATTTACATGTCGACCAAAGGAATATTGATTTTCCTCATCATGTTATATTGTAGGCAGTTTCGAGAAAAAAAAAGAAGTGAAAATGGAGGTGCGTAATTTGGTAAACAAATAAACAGAAGACATTAAGGCTTCAGCACAGAAATATTTAAGGAAAATATTCCAGATGTGAAATGTGTCAAATTAAAGAGATCATATTGTAGTCTTTGTTTCTGTATATTTGTAAGTAATCAGATCTAAAAAAAAACATTAGAATTTAATATCACTTATTGATTTTTTTCAACGTACATTGCCTACCTAGAAATAAAATAAATTTGTATTAAAGTAACAAAAAAAATAAATAAATTTCTCATAGTAGGAAGAACCAATAAATAATTTTTGGCTGTATTCATTAAAATATCATAAAATAAGAATTTATACATCATGTTTATATTGTTAACTTGATCCCAGTTTATAACAAAGATGGTCACTTGTGGAAAAATCTTGAAATTACTGGTTAATGTTGTCATCTGTTGTCAAAAATAAATCAGTTTCTATTTACTTTGAAGAATTGGGGCTTATACTTTATCTAAAATACTTTTACAAAACATTTAATATCTCCTTTTAACATATTTCAGGTTATGTTGTACGAATTATCTACCCTGTAACCTGATTTTTGTTTTTTAGTAAAGAGGCCACTTGACCAGTGAGGCACTTAGATGCCGATTAGTGATTCTCGGGCAGAATTACCTGACGTTGCCCATCTACTCTCTTGGTATCCATCCTTAATTTATCTGCGAAAGACTACAGGGAAGGCAGCTAGTCAACACCACCCAATGCCAACTTTTGGACTACTCTTTCACCAACAAATAGTGAGATTGACTGTCACATTATAACACCCCCAAAGCTGAAAGAAGGAGAATATTTAATGATGGGGATTTGAACCGATTGTGTTTACCTAATCTGTTCGTAAGGTTGGGAGTTAATATAAATATCAAACAATATTAGGTTTCTGAAATTTCAGTTGATAATCTTAAGCAGCTCATAACTTTCTGAGAGATGACCAATCTTACCTTAGAAGTTAAATAATTAAAATTAACTGAATACTTACAGTCAGTTCCTCGATTTGCTCTTGAATTTTGTCTGGATATACAGAAAGAATCTGGTAACGGGTGAACTTGACGTACACCTCCTGCAGCCAAGTCAGTAGTTTTTCATATTTAATCCAGAAATGTGCAACACCTTCTAGATACTGGGCTGAAAGCTCACCAACTGTTGTACTGTCTTCTGTAATCTTGTTATAACGGTCCATTGTTTCTCGAAACTTATCCTGGATCGTGTGGGCTTCTTCCTCATTAACCAGAGTTACCAGAGTTTGAACCAACAGATTTGTCTCTTCAAACAAGTTTTTGTGGTTGATGATGTCCTCGTGAAGTTCCTTTTAAATGTTTAAAAAAAAAAGTATAGGAATATAAATATTTTCCCTAAGCAGCCGCACTCTAGACCTTGAGAGCTGAAAACCTCATGACATATTAACAGTGTGGTCATAATTATAATGAAACTATGACACGTAACCTAAGTTACATGACTACGACTACTTTCAGAATATACTTATCACAAACTCTTTCTTATTATATGTGCCTTGTAACAGTTCTGAAAACACAGTGTTTAAACACTCTATTGTCGTCCAATGTCTAACACATTCGTAATCAACCATCACCCTATTTAACCTAAGTTACAAGACTACTTTCGAATATACTTATCACAAACTCTTTCTTATTATATGTGCCTTGTAACAGTTCTGAAAACACAGTGTTTAAACACTCTATTGTCGTCCAATGTCTAACACATTCGTAATCAACCATCACCATATTTAAATGCATTATCTATTTTTCTCACCTTGTGTTCATTTATTCGCTCTTTGATTTTGTCCTGATCTGTCGGTACGATTGTCATAACGACCAATTTCTTCTCGGTGCATTCCAACCACACCATCAGTGAACTTATCTTGTCATGGTAGTTCTGTGCAACAGGAATGGCCTGTTCAAGAGCCTCCATACGTTCCCTTGCTACAGTGAGTAGACTAGTGAACCTTTCTGTCAAGATGCGAAGTTGGATTTCAACTTCTTTCCTTTTCGCTGGCTCAAAGTTATGCATGACTTCAGCTCCCATGTCGGTCAGTGAAGTCATGCTGTTCTGTCGATCAAGGAGCAGTTTCCTTAAGAACTGTAACAAATGTAAATAACAATCAGTCCTGACACAGTGGACTACTAACAGTACTGACATAGTGGACTACTAATAGTACTGATACAGTGGACTACTAATAGTACTGATACAGTGGACTACTAATAGTACTGATACAGTGGACTACTAATAGTACTGATACAGTGGAGTACTAATAATACCGACACAGTGGACTACTAATAATACTGATATAGTGGACTACTAATAGTACTGATACAGTGGACTACTAATAGTACTGATACAGTGGACTACTAATAGTGCTGATACAGTGGACTACTAATAGTACTGATACAGTGGACTACTAATAGTACTGATACAGTGGACTACTAATATTACAGACACAGTGGACTACTAATGATATCGATACAGTGGACTACTAATAGTACCGATACAGTGGACTACTAATAGTACTGATACAGTGGACTACTAACAGTACTGATACAGTGGACTACTAATAGTACTGATACAGTGGACTACTAATAGTACTGACACAGTGGACTACTAATAGTACTGACACAGTGGACTACTAATAGTACTGATACAGTGGACTACTAATAGTACCGACACAGTGGACTACTAATAGTACTGATACAGTGGACCTATTAGTAGTCCACTGTGTCGGTACTATTAGTAGTCCACTGTGTCAGTATTATTAGTAGTCCACTGTATCAATATTATTAGTAGTCCACTGTGTCGGAATTGTTAGTAGTCCACTGTGTCAGTACTATTAGTAGTCCATTGTATCAGTACTATTAGTAGTCCACTGTGTCAGTACTATTAGTAGTCCATTGTATCAGTACTATTAGTATATTATTAGTAGTCCACTGTGTCGGTATTATTAGTAGTCCACTGTGTCGGTACTATTAGTAGTCCACTGTGTCGGTACTATTATTAGTCCACTGTATCAGTATTATTAGTAGTCCACTGTGTCAGTATTATTAGTAGTCCACTGTGTCGGTACTGACACAGTGGACTACTGATAATACCGACACAGTGGACTACTAATAATACTGACACAGTGGACTACTAATAATACTGATACAGTGGACTACTAATAATACCGACACAGTGGACTACTAATAATACTGACACAGTGGACTACTAATAATACTGACACAGTGGACTACTAATAATACTGACACAGTGGACTACTAATAATACCGACACAGTGGACTACTAATAATACAGTGGACTACTAATTTCACTCCTGGTACATTATATATATATATACAAATGTTTGGAGTTCAAGTACCTTACACAAAACCTGAATATCAAAGTTATTTTCCTGAAACCACCAGTCCACAAGGAACTAATCATATTAATTAATTACTTTTTGTTCTTGTAGCTGAGCTTTCACCACTTTATAGTCTGCTGATGGAGCTTTCTGGTTGGCAGTCATTTCCTCTGTATCTTGTAGCCATTTCTGAACTCCCTCTAAAGCTTCCTGGAACTTACCAGACTGTAGCAGCCTCAGGTCCAGCAATCTCTCACGATCATTCAGCTGAAAGCAAAAACAATTTGGTCAAATGGTTTACTCAACTTTATGTCATAATTTCATGTTATTGAAAGCAGTCAGATGAGTAAGTTACCGCTGGTTACAAGATTTATAAAAGCAAGTTTATTTCAAAAGCATAAATCACAACAATAGGTTTTTGGAAACATACAAAAACTAACAAGAAGAGCTTATTAAAACGCACTGTTAGATAATTGTAGTTTTGTAGACTGAAATATATTTTTATCAAAAGACACACCTATAATCAAAAATAATATTTTGAACAAACCAGTCACATTTTGTGAAGTCAAAAAAAGGGAATAACATTAGTCTTGTGGTTATTTTAATGATGAAAATACATACCCTCTCTTGCAAGTCGTTCCATTTCTTTGTCAGAGTTTCCAAGTCTTGCTCAAGCTTGATCGTGTCCACACCCGGAGAAGCTGACTGGACGAGATTGTGTCCTTGTTTGTTAACATCTGTTATATGCTTGTTCAGGGGCTCAATGTGGTTTTTATGGAAGGCCTGTCAACAAAATATTTTTTGGAAAGCTTTACAAATTAATGACACATAACTATGTTGGAATATTTGTTACTTGTTATACTAAATGATTTGACCACTTTATTGCACATAATAAAACAATGACTTCTTTTAATTCTAATTAATGAACTCAACGCTTCTTAAGATATTTTTAATGATCTCTGTTGCATGTAATTTTTAAGATTTTTGTACTGCAGAAGTAAACACCGAAACTACATCAATGTCTCAAGAAATGCCGAGAAGGAAAAATATTTCATGATAAAAAAAATAAGAAAATAAAAAACTCAACAAACCTTAAATTCTTCCTGTAGAGACCTTATTGTCTCCACTTCCCCACTTATAGCCTTAAAATTCTTTTCTTCTTCAACAGTCTTATCAAGCTCAATGATCGTAGTACTGTAGACTTCATAGAAACATTTTAGCGTGACAAGAGTGCTCTCCAAAACTGAGTACCGAACTTTGGTTCTTTCGGTGATACGTACGAACTGCTGTCGAAGATTGCTCACCTAGAGTAAAAATGGTATCAGAAAAAGACTTATAAACCGAACTTTGGTTCTTTCGGTGATGCGTACGAACTGCTGTCGAAGATTGCTCACCTAGAGTAAAAGTGGTATCAGAAAAAGACTTATAAATTGTTAGATGAGATAGTTCTCTTCATGTATGTACACAGAGCTTCAGAGTCCTTTACTGGGAAGTGTGTATTGGGATATTTATCTACATCTAGTAATTATGTTTCTTTAGATAATATAATAGTTCACTTTAGATAAAAGAAACATACTGTGATTAGATAAAGACTTTTGAATAGCCTCATCTCGGAGCATGAAGGTCAAGATAATCAAAAGAACTTTATATGATTTTGGGTGGGAAGTATATTTGGTGTATCTGTATGTATAAATCAAAACAACCTACAGCAGATAGCCCTTTCATAACTAACCTTTTCTCTACACGATGTCACGTCCGTGGTATAGCCCTGATCAATCGTATCTTCTCCATGTTTAGAAACATCTTCAATATCATCGTTCACCTTATCCAGCTGTCCCATGAAGTTCTGTAGATACCACAAAATCATCAGGAATAAAATAAACATTATACACTGTTGAAATGTTAATGATAACTTACGGAACAATAAAAGCCTTGATTTACTAAGGTTCTAGTAAATTTCACACGAGTATAGTGATGTGAATATGAAACAAAAAACTCTTATGAAAATAAACCGCAAAGAAAGAGCATATATCTTATAGTTTATTTAATGGATTACCCTCTACGTGGATTTAATAAATAATCACAGAAACTAATAAATATAATAACTTATAATTCAGCCATTAATGGGCTACCTGCACTCACTGTTGGGATCAAATTTTACCACTTTAAGTCCTCATGCTTACTGCTGAGCTACTAGATGAAGAGGTGCGTAGTTTATTTAATGAATTTATTTAATCAACAGTAATATGACATCAGAATTAATACATGCCACACATATAATATTTTTCTTACCTTCATTTCTACAATCTGAGTTTCTACGACAGTGATGACTCGAGAAACAGGAGTCATGTTGTCTAATGTTTCTTCTAAAGATTTCAAGTCCTTCTGGACATTCTTCTCTTTCATCTGGAAAGGAGAGAAAGATGTTTAATTTAGTAGACATATTACAGCCTAATCTGATAGTAGACGTGTATTTTTAAAATAAACTAAAAGTGTGGTCACCTTTCTATGACCTGTCAAAACTATTGATTATTGAAAAAATATACAAAACTGATTTTAAAAAACCTGTAAAGTTTATTATGAGCTTTTTATTTCACCTAAATGTAATCATATTTTGTGACTGTTATGGATCTGGGTTGACATGTAGAGGCAACTAGCTGTGTCTTACAAAATTTAACTGGTTGATAACATTGAAGCAGTAATCATATTTTGTGACTGTTATGGATCTGGGTTGACATGTAGAGGCGACTAGCTGTGTCTTACAAAATTCAACTGGATGATAACATTGAAGCAAGATGAAATGAAATATCAAATGTTACAATCACTAACCGTGAAATCAGAAAGGACTTTTATGATGAACTCCACATGTGTGCGTTTCTTTTCTAAGGTCTGAATTAGTTCTTTGTGACGACTTTCCAAGGTCAGCAATTCTTGTTTAATGTGGGAAGCATCAGAATCTAAGCTGGCATTTGATGTCAGTTGGTCAGCAGATTCTATGATCTGGTCAACTTGTTGATTTAGGCCAGTTGCTTCTTCTAAAAGTACCTGCACAGAGCAGAGACAAACATTTCAACATCCTTTAAACTAAATTCTTGTACAGCAACGACAGGAAACAGATCTAAATGTCTGTGAGCAATGCTTTTATTTTAGAACACATTATCTGCTTTTGGAAACAACAAAATACACATCTTTTCAGTTCCTTTCATTCTTTAAAGTCAAAACAAACGAACAGTAGAAACATGTTCTCAAGCTGTGGCTTCTAGTGTTCCAGTCTTAGTTCTGTTATATCAACAACAGGATGTGGTAAAATAATCAAATTGTATCTTCATAAACCTTTACATTTTAGACAACGATCGTGTAATTATCATATAAACTTCTCTCACGGCAGCTGACAGTTACAGCAGATTAACTAATGTGTGTTACTTTGTCATTGTGTTGTCCTATACCATACAACACAATTTGAAATGTTGTCTTATACCTTATAATATACCTTAAAGTGTTGTCTTACATGCTACAACACAACTTGAAGTGTTGTCTTATACTTTACAATATACCTTCAAGTGTTGTCTTATATGCTACAAGACAACTTGAAGTGTTGTCTTATACTTTACAATATACCTTCAAGTGTTGTCTTATACACTACAACACAATTTGAAGTGTTGTCTTATACACTATAACACAATTTCAAGTGTTGTCTTATACTTTACAATATACCTTCAAGTGTTGTCTTATACACTACAACACAACTTGAAGTGTTGTTTTATACTTTACACTATACCTTCAAGTGTTATTTGATATAATATGACACACTTTCAATTGTCTTATATATTATTTATTATAACACACCTTCAGTCTATCCAATACAACAATATTGCTTAGACCATCCAGTGAAGCCAGCTTCTCTTCAAGTTGGTGAAGAGTGTGTCGTACATTGCGAGCCTTGTCATAGAATGTTGTCAACAGCCGAGACACATTATCCACCGTCTGAGATCTTTCTAACACACCTGTTTGAGAGGATCACACTTCTATATAAGATGTACATTCAATGCTAGCAGGCCTTAAATCATAACAATACTGTGTCTTCTTTAACAATACCCCATTTGAAACTTAGAATGTATCAGCAGATGTTATAACTACTATAAAACCAGTTAAAATTAATACAGTATCTTTTATGTACAGAAAGAGTAAATAAATACTTCTTTACTCATGTTTAAAGTGTCATTTATTTTCACAACTAAACTTTCAAATTACTGACTTTGTTCACACACCATACACCATGGGCAGGATTTGTCCAGGTACTACATCATGTTAAATAATTTTATGTTTTAGCCTGAGCTCAATGTGAAGATCCTACCAAATAAAATTACTCATTTTCTACGTAAAACTCACAAGAAACCACAGCAGTAAATAGTGACGTTAACTGCTGTATTGATGATATTTTTGTTTAAATTTGTGTATGTGTTTCAAGCATGTTATACATCCATACACAACTTTGTGTGTAAACAGTTTATAAAAACATCAGTGGCTTCCCATCAGTAATTCAAGGGTTAGACTAGAAGATACTACTTTGGAAATTATTAGAATATTTACCAAGATTAGGAAGTTTATGTTACAATTAGCATAATATATACTTGATATACGTCTAGTAGGAACTAAAACTTGGATCGACCAGTAGCTATCACATCATGGTTATAAAAATCGTTTCCTGCTAACTTTTCTGTACCTTCGGAAAACACGAATTAATTGCTCTATAAAAAATCTGTCGTGATAATCAAACATGATGTTTTGTGGTAGATGTAGAGCTCCCTGTTACAGTTAGAACTTAATATACCTTGGTTGAGCTGATTCCAACGTTGTTTCAGCTCCACCAGCTTCTGTTTGATATCTTCTTGGTCAACATCTGTTTGATCTAATAACATCTCACCAAAGTTACAGATATTGTCAAAATCTTGGCTGTGGCTTGATAACTCATTCTTGAACACCTGTAATAGTAACATTTCATAATGTCATATTAGCTGGGGCAGCAGTCAAGTGGGGCTTGCCAAAGCTAAAGCTACCCCCCACACTCTATGAAAACTGTTTACTATTGAAGCTGATTCACTTCTTACCCAAAAGATGTAGAGTGAAGACTGTAACATTTTGTTCAGCCCACCTCATCATAAAGAGGCTGGTACCACCCCTAGATATTAGTAAAAGTTCTAGCTGTGACTTAATACTTCAATCAATTACATAGTGGGTGTATTTTATATTAATCTTTCCTCCAACATTATTGTGTGTGCGTTGGAAAAGACTAACTTGTTCGTTAACTAATAAAAAAAGCACAAGAATTAAAAGGTTAATTAATTACATCTACCTGAATATCCTTGGCTTGTTTTTCAAGCTCTGCCTTCTGGAAGTTGATTGGCTGGAATGTGGCCAGCTTCTCTTCACTCTGCTCAAGCCAAGGCAGAAAGTCCATTAGTGCTGAAAGGAGCTTTGGGCTTGTGTCAGTACATCTAAGCAATCTGTTTTGTCTGAAAAAAACAACAAAATAAAACAAAATGTCATTCATACTAATTCAATTGTAAGTTTAATGTTTTTATTACTTTAACTTAATATATATATATATATATATATATGTACACACACAAGTATATATAGCATTAATTAAAAAAAATAAAGATAAAATATCACAAACCAATTTTCAAGAGTTACATGAAAAGCTTTAGACTTAAAAAAACAAACTACCTGTCTGTGGTTTCTTTGCGAATTATGTCCCACTGAGTTTTGATGGTGTCTAATTTGTCCTTCAGCTGGAGAGGTTCAGTCTTGTGCGTAACCTTATTAATAATCTCATTCCCCGTACTCACCAGAATGTGGATTTCATGTTCTTTGTCTAAAACATCTTTGTGTATTGGCTAATCAAGGTAAACATCATAAATATTAGATTTTAAAATCAACATTCATTTAAGAACAAACAAATAAATGAATATAATGTAAACTATTATTAAACTTGTTAGAACAATATCATAGGATGAAGAAAATTTTAACTTTTAAATACAAGATCGATACGGAGACTTCTTATAAAACTGTAAGGTCAAAGGTTAATTTAAGGTAAGAATTTCACAATAACACCAGCAATATTTTAAAAAACATTTAACAGAATTCTGCTGTTTAATTATACTTGCCACGAATTTCGTTTTATAAACTCATATATTATACAAAGTAATGTTTCATAATTCATTAATATTGATTCTGACGACAATTATAGTATACTTCTTACTAAAAATCCAAACTCAATCATTTAAAAATGAAGTGTTTAGTAGTTTATTCCTAGTTTCAGTTTCTCTAAAAAGGGGGGGCATATTTTATACCTTGGGTGTCAAACATACCATACATTAATTAAACAATTTGATTTCTGACGCCATATAGCCTGGACATAAATTGTTTCCACTACACATATTAGGAACATGTTACCGGTTGAATGTTTCTTAACAACTTACTTCAAAATCCTTAACCTGTTCCATCAGGGTGGTATGGTTAGCAGAAACGGTGAAAGGTTTTGACAAGCAGTCCTGCATCTTATTCAGCCATGTTTTGATGGTTTCAAGGGAAAGGACAAACTCTTGGTCTTCCTTCTGAGAAGACTCTAATTCTGCCTTTTTGTTATCTATAATGTTTAAAATATTTTAATATTCTGACAATGGAAACAAAATTAATGATCAGACTTTACTCCAGTGTGCTTTATCAGTTTTAACTTTTTTGTTGTTACGAAAAGTGTTGGTGTTCACTGGTCGGAATAGTTCGATATAAATTTTTATCTGTGAAATATAAAAAATAGCCTTACTTAACTGGATAGAATCTGAGAAGTTAAATGTTTAATTTCAAAAGAAATTTAATTATTCCCTTATATTAAAATTATACAAAATAAATTGACACAAAATATTTCTTGAATGTCATAGAAATTTAACATTCTTTGAGAACAGCACGAAATTAAAATTGATAATCTAGGCCTAGCAGCTTTCATATGTTGAATGAAATTATTCAAATCAATAATCTCTGTGACAGATTTCTTTGAGAGGTCGACCCAAACGTGTTTAGAGAAACAAGAAATTTGTAGATGGAGTATACTACAAGACAGGGTGAATAAAATCAATTTCAGATAGCAATATGACGAGTAACATGTTAGGTTTCAGTGAGGCTATTCTGACGTACTCTAATGTTGTTTAATTATCACCATGAGAATATAGCAGTCACAGAATTATTCTTGCTATGTAAGGCCAAACATTGTCCCCTGACCCCAATGACTCTTCTCACAGAAAGCATTATGAACATAATATTATATTTAATATCACCCACCAATTTGTATTCTAATGTTAAAAAAAAACAATAAAATTTTCTGACATTACTATTAACTATAAACAAACTATTGTATTTGGTAGTCATCTTTCTGTATGGGAACAAGACACATGAAACCTAAAAATGCCTGTTCACACAAACACATATGTAGATGTATATATTGATCAAGTGCTGTACCTTACTTGCTATGTTTTCTTTATTTTCTAATCAGATATTAAAATCACAAACAGCTAAGGAACTGACTGAAAGATTAGGCTTACCAATCTTCTTCGTTAGGACAGTGTACTGTTTCTGCAGTGTCATCAATTTGTTCTTAATCTCAGTCTTGGAGGTTGAATCACTTAATAGTTCACACAATTCTTCACAGATACTTTCTGCTCCTGCCAAATGAGGGCGCTGGCTTTCCAACCGTCCTTCCCAATCCTGTCAAAGTAAATATGTTACCATACACTAAACAGTACACATATTTAACGTAAAATAATGGAATAACGAGTAATTCTACAAACTAACAAACTGTATAGGATAATTTAATTGATGTGTCTTCATTTAGATACGTGCTTCATTCGTACGGCAATATTTTATAAAATACAACCAAGGGAACACTAATTGATGTGTCTTCATTTAGATACGTGCTTCATTCATAGGCCAATATTTTATAAAATACAACCAAGGGAACACCAGTACCTGCCACATCTTATAAAATGTTACAGAAAAGTTGTACAAAATGTAACATACATTTCATGGGTAAAATTTACATTAATTTTCTTCTGAAAAATATGGATCTGTAATTATTAGCTTCTCGCAATCGTAGACGAACTTAAAACACAAGTAGAGTGTTTACTACATGTAGAGTGTTTACTATAAGTAGAGTGTTTACTACATGTACTGTTTAGTACAAGTAGAATGTTTAGTACATGTAGAGTGTTTACTACAAGTAGAGTGTTTACTACATGTAGTGTTTAGTACAAGTAGAGGTTACTATATGTAGAGTGTTTACTACATGTAGTGTTTAGTACAAGTAGAGTGTTTAATACATGTAGTGTTTACTACATGTAGTGTTTAGTACAAGTAGTGTTTACTACATGTAGAGTGTTTACTATATGTAGTGTTTAGTACAAGTAGAGTGTTTACTATATGTAGAGTGTTTACTACATTTGCTGTTAAATATTTTCCAGCATTTAGGTTTATCACGTTTTTAATTAAGTATTTTCGTTCCACCAGGTCATGAGAGATGAATTCAAATCACAGCAGCCCCTCCTAGATCGCTTGGATACTTCAGGTGAAGCAGTCGTTAATGATCTCGGCCCTTCTTCCCCAGCCAGCGTTACAGCTCGTAACCAAATGGATGTTATCCACAAACTGTGGAAAGACCTTATGAGCCAACTTTCTGAACGTGAGAAGAGTTTAGATGCTGCTTGTGGGATTGCCAAGGAATTTCATGATGGTTTCATGAAACTACAGGACAGTATACAGCAGATTACTGATAACTACGACCAGATATCCGAAGGTCCTGTCGACATTGAGGAACATCTGAACAAACTAACGGTAAGATTGTCATGCTGTTACCGCACTTTGGAGCTTGAGTTGTATTTTGTATGAAATCTTTTAAACAAACACAAACCTTATCCTTTATCTTGAGCTCTCTCTTCACGAAACATCTTTTTGTTAAACTTGAGTAATCTTTTCTTGATGTGAATCTTCAGTTATGTTACAATTGTCCATTTTAAATTTATAATGATGATGAAAGTACCACAGACACATAGAAAAATGTCATTATTTCGTAAAATTAAAAGCAATTTAAAACTTACAAGCAAATATGGTAATTAAACTAATGGCTAATCAACAAAATCTCAAAACAATTCGTTTGCTTGGCATATTGTCCTTCTTACAGGACATCACTTACTACAAGTATTATATAACATCTACAAGTAACGGACAGACTGCATGGTACGTGTAAGTTGATACTGATAGAAGGAATAAAACAAATATTATTCTTTTAGTACCTGGACTTGTTGCATTTGGGATGTGACCATGTGAGGCACTGAAGAAATTGGTCCTAGTACCTGCAACATCTTGTCTTTCTGGATCAGCCAGCTGGTCAGTAAGTCATGGGTCTCTTGAAAGTCCTTGAACTCTTGAAGTACATCTAGTTGCTCTTTAATGGTCTTTACTAGCTCTGTCCAGCGGGTCACTATAAACATAAATATACAATATACCAATTTCACAGAAACTCTTGTCTTAAGATATCTCTTAAGTACTTGCAACTGTGCCCACAACGCACTTTGTAAACTGTAAACTTTGTATGGCAAATTGTAAATAGATTAGAAGGTATTCCATCACCCACTCACCAAGTTCATGTATTTGGTCCCTAAAGCTATCTGAGCCCAGAACATCCACCCCACAATGTAGTAATTACTTCTATGAATATCACCTCACAATGTAGTAATAACCTCTGTGAATATACCCCCACAATGTAGTAATAACCTCTGTGAATATCACCCCACAATGTAGGAGTTACTTCTATGAATATTCCTACCACGCAATATACTCTTTGTTTAATGTGTCAGTTACACACTTTAGATTTATTATTAAATAATCATTAAGCCCTAGATAGTTAGGTTAAAAGAAAATAAGTGGTTATAACCAACTGTTGCGTATTCTAGACAATCCAGGAAGAATTTCAAGAGAAGCAACCCGATGTTGACAAACTAAAGATCCAGATTCAAGAACTTCTCAGGAAGAAACCTATATTCACAGAGGTTATTACTACATTGTGAGGTGATATTCATAAAAGTCATTACTACATTGTAGGGGATATTCACAGAGGTTATTACTACATTGTGGGGGATATTCACAGAGGTTATTACTACATTGTGGGGGTATATTCACAAAGGTTATTACTACATTGTGTGGGTATATTCACAGAGGTTATTACTACATTGTGGGGGATATTCACAGAGGTTATTACTACATTGCCCAGATTTGTAAACAGATGACATGAAACATTGTTTATGTATTTTTATATTTACAAAAGTTTGGGTTTACTCTGTTATGCCTAATTATACCGTACGTTTTTCAATATGGCATCAGTATATATCTAGTGGCAGTAACAGTAATAAATTGTATTAATGTATTTTATACACAAAGAAAAAAGTATCAAATTATGAATGTGGCCATTAGAAGGAAGCATAACAGTAGTGAAAGTAAATACCAGCGACTTTTACAGCTAGAACTCTACCATCAGGGAACTAAATGTTAATGGGTCACAAGAAAGAAATGTAATGACAATATTCAACAGATCTGTAGACACAGTTTAGAGATTTCCCCAACAGATGCACTGTGTTACGTTGACCATAACCACATGTAACACATTTCTGGTTAGCGTCTCTACGATATATTTAATTTCAAAGATATCAATTGATCTAAGTAATTCAAGGTTCTTGAGTTTTTTTAGAAACAAACTTTATCTGGACATCATTCTGTAAAAATGGGTGTCATTAACTATGTTGAAATTTTGGTGTTTTAGTGCAAAATTTATACTGTGGTAGACATCCACCCAACTTTCTGTGCTAGTAAATAAATGAAAGCCTGTAAATATATTTATTTTTTTAAATATTGAACACAACTACCTTAAGAATGTGAAGTTGATTCCCAGCCTGCTCCTTATTTTCTGGAAAAGACTCCTTTGGTAATTGTTTTTCCTTCCCTTTGACAAAATTTACTAATGTTTTCATGGTCAGCAGATGGCACTTAGTTTCTTCTGTCAGGCTTTCGATTTCCTGTTGACGGTCAGACAATTTTACACCCAGTAGGCTATAGCGATTGTTAATTTCAGAAAGTTGTTGTTGAATCGGAGTCAGGTCTAAGGAAATGTAGAATAAAACAACATTAAAGAACCAAAAGAGAAAAATTATTTTTATTGCAAAGTTTGAAAATAGAACAAATAACCATTAAACAATGCATACAACAGAGCATGAGCTCAAAAAATCAATGTTAACTGGAATTATGAGTCTCTGACCTCTAGTTTTTTTGCTGTCAATGTTAACTAGAATTATGAGCCCCTGACCTCTAACTTCCTGCTGTCAATGTTAACTGGAATTATGAGTCTCTGACCTCTAGTTTTTTGCTGTCAGTGTTAACTAGAATTATGAGCCCCTGACCTCTAACATCCTGCTGTCAATGTTAACTGGAATTATAAGCCTATGTCCTCTAGTTTATTGCTGTCAATGTTAACTAGAATTATAAGCTCCTGACCTCTAACTTCCTGCTGTCAATGTTAACTAGAATTATGAGCCCCTGACCTCTAACTTCCTGCTGTCAATGTTAACTGGAATTATGAGCCCCTGACCTCTAACTTTTACTGTCAATGTTAACTGGAATTATGAGTCTCTGACCTCTAGTTTTTTGCTGTCAATTTTAACTGGAATTATGATCCCCTGTCTCTATAGTTTTTTGCTG